CATTAATAGTTTTCCATCTCGAGAAACTGTTATTTAATCGATGCGATATGGCTTTAAATGTTCGAATGTTTTGTCGTCCGTAACGAGAGGTTGAATTCTGAAACACTGCAGTTGCTCGGTACTCAATCGATCTGACATTAATCGATATTTAATAGCGATTAGTTTCGTGTTGTTGCATAACGTCGACGATAACTTGCGAAATTTTTGCAAATTACTAACATTAGTGATAATTATTTCGTAAATCTGTTTGCGTTAAGCAACTTTCACAAAGACTGATTAGGATGGGTGGCCAAAAATTTAATATCTCAATATCGTCTATCTTTCGAAGAGCACGATCAGGCGTTAGTCTTGGTTGGTCGCATGTGAAGTCGTTGCTACCCACTAATACATATTAGGCCCGTGTAATGGGTTGGGGCTTATATTCCGTGTTTGATGCTATCCTTAAGGAAGACCTGTCCTTGGACATCAATAAGATGATGACTATAACAATAGTAGCATGTACAAAATGAATTACATAGCACAGTTAATCATAATGGTGATCAGATATTATTGCCAAATCTACACAGATAACTAATTGGTTTCAATTAGACGTAATTAGCGATACCTATTATAATTTATAACGAGCCGAAATTGTGAAAATTGAAAACTAATTACGAGTAATTATTAACCGACCCATATAAATTTATATTGCCTGCTGGTTTTGCTCAGTGTTATTTTAGGTAAAAATTTAATTATATTGTGTTTTAAAAGACAAATGTTTCGACCTATTCAAATAATAAAACTACTTCTGCGTAATCGTTAATAAAGGAGATCATTTTCAATTTTGTTCTTACACAAAATTATCTATTCTTACTTTGGTATTAATAAAAGTTAAATATATACGTTAGTGAAACCTTAAAAAATACTAACGCCTGATTTTAAATTTAATGTGTTGAGTTAACCTGCCTTAAGAAATAATCTACTTGCTTAAGAGTACATTATTTCTTCTTTTGAATTACAAGAAGAATTTAACCGACCACAGAGGAAAGTTAAGTAGCCTTGTGCTCATATGGCGTTGTGGATAAGCGCCGCGGCCCGTGATCGTCATTATTAAGCACTTTCGCTAGAGTCGGTCACTGGATGGATGACCAAAATATTAATATCCCGAGCTACTCCGTGCTATGGAAGGCACGTGAAGACATTGGTCTCGGCTGCATTTGCAATCGTTAATACCCTCCAAACTGCATTGGGCCAGCGTGGAGGGTTATGAGTAATAAAGTTGATGATTATTTAAGGACCGCAATGCATGGAATTAATAGCATTCGCTTTTTTATAATAACATAACATTTTTATAATACGTACTATTTTGGTAATGATATGATTTATGTAAATGTCATTACTTATGATAGAGAGATGGTAAGTTTCTTTCGCTTTTTCTTTTTGTCAGCTAAATGACGTCCTGAACAATTGGTAGGGAAAATTTTTTTTTGGATGTTTCAAAAGTGCTTGTAACAAGCTTACTTGAAAGACATTTTCATTTCATATGACCTATCTTTCTTAATTAAATAACCGTAAGGAAGGTCTCAGTTTGCAGTGGGGACGTAAAAGGGCTGATGATGATTGTGTATTAAATTAAATAAAAAAATATATACATATATCTAGATTTTTTTTAAATCTTAATTTATTTGAGAGGCTAGATGGCGTAGTGGTAAATGCGTTCGATCTGCGATGTGATAGTCAAGCAACTATCGTAAGAGCCGGTCATAGGATGGGTGACCAAATACTTATTATCTCGAGTTCCACCACGTTTCCCTGGCCTCAGCTGCATCTGCAGTAACACCCACTGATATGCATTCGACCAGCGTGGTGGGTCACGTCTCTATGTTTTATGATTCAGTTCCATTCAGAGTGAAGGTCGGTGCTCCACTAGTGTGGATATGAATATGTAGGCTGGTGATGGTGTATTAGAAGTTCATTTGTGTATATATAAATAATCTACATCATTTACTACTTTAGATATCTTGACACCACTCGCTAATTTATCGCAATATTGGTTGACGTTCACCAAAACAGCTAAGCTCGCGAACTCCAGTGTTAACGTTCATAAATCATGCGTTATGTGCACCATTAGTGCGGTACACGTGATTTGATGCAAACACGCGAGCGACACTAGACTCTTATATTGTCGAATATGCTTTGAAGTTTGGTAAATAGGGTGATCCAGAGAGTAAATGTAGTAATATTTGTAGTAAAAAAATTTTGACAATTTTTTCATTCTAGTTCCATTAGATACTTGACCCTGTAATGAATGTATAGCATATTTAAAATTGATAATATGCAATACTGAAATTTCTTAAGACTTTTCATCCTTTTTATAATTGTTATCCATATGTATCCATATTATATATTTTCCAAAGTATATAAATATCATTTGTCAATACGGGTGATAACGTTACTGAAATAAGTAAACGATTTAGCATTATTCAGAAGGAATTATCTCCTTAGATATTCGTATTTTAAAATCTATTTACTTTAATAAAAACATAATCTGTTTAAGAAATACAGACGATTAAAGACTGAGTTTTCATTATTAATACTCGCTCGTCAAAAGTCTTGTTAGCGACTCATTACAGTGTCAGTTTGTATTGGCACGATTAATGGCAGACAAATAGATGTAATCCGCTCGATAGTTCTATAAATAGCCATTAACATCTATGCATATACGATTATACGAGTATCAGCATGTTGTAGCGTAAATTCCGACATTATAAATGTTGAGAAATTACATTTTTCATATTATCAAGTGAAGTTTATTACAAAATGAAAGCCAAAAGTTCTAAATATAGACAAAATCAATGAATCCTGCCAATTTTTGTTCTTGATTACAAAAAGAGATTACGTCGTATGCAATTTTGTATACATACGAAGGGTAATCATCGCAATCATGACACATATGATCAAAATCATTTGCCATTTCAAAAACAAGTATACTATTGAAAGAAAACTAATTTATCAAAGAAAAACAAGGGTGTGATTCGCATATTCAAACAAAACTGACGTTATATAGAGGATAACTCGGCAGAATAGCGGATGATTGAGTTAAGATGCTTCAATCGAACGAGGAATGACCATCATCTCTTTTTTTTTCAATTTCGAAGCAAAAATAATAGTTTTGATCATTGATAATGATACTCAAAATTGGATAACATTCACTTCATTCATCAACTTTAAATTTAGAACGATCTTGCATCTAGTTACACCTGCATTATTCATCGGTGCATATTGTAATGTCAAACTGTATTGGCTCGATCGATCGTCAGTCGTGCAGCAATGATCTAAACTCTTTGATCCGTCTATAAATAAACAGCAAACATGTGATGTGCACGCCGACGTATTTATCGTGTCCATTGTTGCATTGTTCTATGCAGTTTTAGTTATGATTGAAAGATCATTACATTTTTAGTAACAATGACACTTTTTTTATCAAACTAATTATTTTTTGTTTTATTTTAATCAGTACAGTTATGAAGAGGGTCTACAGCGTAATTTAGTTATTTCATTTCGATTCGTTAGAGCATTTAATTCGAATCTAGTGGTGTATGGAGTTTAGTTACTTACGCGAAGAGACATTTCGAATGATAAAAGAGGGACTGCAACGTCTACAAATCGTTTTATTAAGAGCGTTGAACGATTTTAAAGGAAAAAACAGTGTCGTATAAATAAAAGACAAAAATCATAAACAAAAGTAAATATCGTCGATGTCTGTGCAGGCCATTGTAACTGCTAGTTTTATTGAAAAAAATGTGAAAGGGGTAGGTATGTATTGTTTATACCGCGTTTTAGAAAGTTTTTAACTTTTCCTGAAAAAAATATACTTCTGTTTACATTTAGAAGATCCTACACTGACGCCAACGATATGTGATTCAGTAGTTGGTTTCGTACTCTCTTCGCAAAAACCATTATTCACATAAAAAAACCAGTTCACTGGCCTTCATGTTTTACATATTTTCAGCCTTTCCTCTTCCTAGTAGATATCCATAATTATCACACTCTTACCTACCTACAAATTATAATTAAGTGTTGTGTTTCCATTCTGTATGTAAAAATGTAATAAGTTCAATAATTTAAATATAATTAATAACTGTATCCAAATTAAGTGTTGTGTTTTCATTATGTATGTAAAAATGTAGGAAACTAATTTAAATATTATTAATAACTTGCGATAAAATAAAGCAAGATTATTTATTATTTGAAATAGATTATGCAATTAGAGGAGGATTATTAAAACAACATTAGCTTACTGAGTTTTCGTCGTGGTAGAAGTCCTCGAGATTATCAAAGGCACCTTTCCTTAGTCGAGAATCAACAGAATCAACATCGGACCGATTTTGTTTACTAAAGATGGAACCGTTTACTTAGATGGCAGGACAGTTAATATCACGACACTCGAAGGATCAGAATTTAATCTGCAAATATTATACCGTCCCTTTAGTCGAATTGTTATTTTTGTTAGTTCAATAGACCTTATTTCATTTTGCTATGATGAATTTGTCGATTTTTTTTATCAGTGTGTAATAAACGATGTTAATAAGGTTGAATACCCATATGGAAATAAAAGTATTTATTATCTGTTCACTGAGAACTAAAACGAAAATGCAAGGAGGTCAAGTTATGTTATAAAAAGGAATATTCTATAAAATTTTAAAAAAAGGACAGAACAGTAATCGATTTTCATAGTTGAACGCATGCAAGCAATTAACGCTATGAGCAAAATTCTCCAAAGAAATTATAAAAATCGAATGATGAGTACCACCAGATTTCATCCATATTTTTTATAATAGATAAATTCATGATAATTCAAAATATAATACTTATAAATCGATTAACTGCCGTATTCCTACCAACTAAGAGTGAATATCGCTATTTCATTTTTATTTACAAAAATGAATGGTAAGTATAAAATTCTAGTACTATGTAGTTAAGATAAAGGTGTCCGGTGTAAATTGAAAGAATCCACTTACCGTTTCTATTTTCACTATCAGCCGGCTTCATCTGAATCGGGTGGTGCATCTGTAAAGAAAGAAAATTTTGAGTGAACATTCTAAATGACACATTCTAGTGTTTGGCAGACTAATAGGTACCCGTTTACACTAACCTACACCAAAGCATATCTTTATATTAAGAATAGCTTAAGCGAATTTGACGTTTCACCAAATCTGTAACGTTAGGTAATTACTAAGCGCTTGCTTAGTTAAGCAACGTTTATCTATGATTTTGAATACTTCAGTTCCTTTTCTTTTTTTAATGTATGGCATATTTGCGTTTATACGATTCCACCAATATCACGTCAGTGGCTTTTACACGTAAGAGTAAAGATAATAAATATATATATTTATATAAAGAGACAATAATATATTTTGAGGTAATAAAACAAGAAAAAATATAAGTGGTCTTGTATTTTACACGAGCACCTAAGTCATCAAAATTTAACAACTTCATTGGTTATATCTGAATTCTTATAATAAAAATAAACTCCTTGATTCCAACTTTATAAATCGATTTTATCCCTTGACACATCCGTTATGGCCAAAGAGTAAATGTATATGTCACATTACGCAAATGTCCAGCGCTAGGAGCCGCAAAATGCATGTCCTAACTTTAGGCGTTGCTTAATGTCATAAGGTAAGCTCCTTTTCATTGGTGAAACGCATTTTTGCCTTTGACAATATCCAAATATTTAGGTGTAAGATTTGGACGACTTCCAAGTTTAGTGAAATTGTGCATAAAAGCGTTACATTTTTGTGGATAATGGATTGTTGGCAAATAATTTGAGTTAATTTAGTTATAAACCTGTCAAGCTGCGTTTTCAATTCTGTAAGGATCACGCGGGTAAATTTATTTTTTATTTGTCAACAAAAAATTAACAATGACAATATGTCTATTATTATTTTACTTATTTGTACATAATATCTTGATAGGGCGATAATAAAAATGAAGTTGAATTTTAAATATGACCTTCTGAAATCAAATCGCTATTATCACGAGCCGCAAAGCGCAGCAAATTAAGCATCGAGTGAAATATTTGCGTAAACATTATTAATACGAACCGAAATGTATGCGCTTCGGCTTTGTACGAGTTATCGCACTGTTGGCCGCCATCAATCGGTCAAAGCGACGCGACCTCATTAGATATTAATTAAATTAACCGGTAATATATACCGGTAATATATCGGTGGCGGCGACGAACTATATGTCGATTCAGTATACCGTATCATAAGTGCGTTTACAATAATATTTTTGTTAGACCAATGTTGGAGGTTAAGAATTCTCCCGCAATTCATCGGATGATGTATGAATTAAAATTTCTCGAGTTCCTCCGTGCTACGAAATTTTCTCGACACAAGAAATATTTATTTAGTTATTGTCTTTTGTGCTAATTAATATTATAAAGAGGGAAGATTTGATTGTTTGTAATGAATAGGCTCTGAAAGTACTGGACCGATTTTGTAAATGCCTTTACCTACTACCCACATTCGTGTCATATTATGAATCGATATTTATTTAAACAGCGGGTGAAGCAGCCGGCGGAAAGCTCGTTATATAATAATTATACCTTTTTTCTTTTAATGCCGTTAATTGTATTATTTTTTTTAATGAGAAAGTCAATATAAATATGAGTTAATTTTTAAGATTTGATTAACGGCCTCTGACAAGGAGGTTCGCAATTAAGCTGAATGTTTTTTCTGTAATTTTTAATAATTAGGCAGAATGTTTTTTCAGAGATTTTACATTATTTTTTTTTATTATTAGAGGTTTTGCATTCCATAATACGTTCTCTTGTGTTGACGCTATCAGTCTCGCTTCAATCTAACATTCTTACTGACCATTTCTATGTATTATGACGTAACATACTGTACGCGTGTTCACTTGACGCACACGGCATTAATTCCGCAGCGTATCACAGTTGAATTATTTACACGGCGCGATCGTAGCCGCCGGCGCAAACAATCGGGACTATTGCAATTATTTTGTAAACAACGCGCGAGTCTCTCCCGCGTTGTTTTGTTACGTTATAGACAGAGACCTCGTGAAAAAACGCGCAAGAGCTTTCTAAAGCTTGATATTTCGGTATGTTTGAAGTTATAAGGGTATGCATGCATCACCCAGTACCAACTGCGGAGGCTAGGTGAATGGCGGCGGCACGAAAAATACTTCTAGCGAATGCTGATTATGTGTGTTGCAATAAATGAAATTCTAGGTTGTTTTATGAACTTATAATTTAGCAATAAATTAACTTTCAACTATTACAAAACTCTTCTTTCGCAGCTTATTTTCACACCAAAATCTGAGATCTGCTGAGTCGCCGCATTTTAGGAGTGTGCAATCTATTTAGTCTGCTTTTTTATATTAAGATTTTTTTTTTACTAAATATAAACTATTTTAAAGCACCTTTTGGTTTGCTATTTTCATATTTTAAATTGCCCCGCAGCGCGCCGCCACCAGGTGTTCCAGCGTCTGATATCCACACTGGGTACTGAGTAATATACACCGTTAGTACTTCCATATACTGAAATATCAAATTTTAGACAGCTCTTGCACATTTTTGTCACGATCTCTTAGAATATTATGTACACAGAGCTTGGCTGCGAGTGTGCATAGTTAACGTCCGACACATATTTCCATTTGTGACGTCAGCAGTTCTTATGTCTACAGAACGGCGAATGTATGTATAGAAGAAGTTCGCATATTAAGTCGAATCTGCTGATCCATTATTATAGTCATTATTATATATGAATTTAAAGGATCGACCTCACAATGTAATTTATGTCTAACGCCCAATAGGGATGATGAATAATTTTTGTTTTTTTGTCCGTCAGGTAGAGTGTTAAAAAATATTAAACACGTATTTTTTTATTTTTTTCGTAATCATAAAATTACGGCGTTATATTCAGTTGAAATTTCGCATGTCGTCACGTTAGAGTACGTTTTCTACACAACTGTGACGTAGCGAGCCCCCACTCCTCAACTTTAATGCCTCTTATCTATACTATTTCTTGTTAAATGAAGTAAAAAAAATACGTATCTAATATTTTTCTATTATCTGACTGACGGACTAAATAGAATTGCATTTTTTTTACCCAGTCATCATCCCTATTACAGAATTGATTCAATATGAAATCCACTTAGTTTCTGGCACCCTAAGATTTTTAAGCATTTTTTATCAAGAATATTTTTCAGTATAGCATTGTGAATGCAAAATTGATCAAATATAATGATTCTACATTACATTTGGTGGCTTATATATGCCAGTTTCAAAGTTCACCGTCTCCGAGGTTCAATAACCGGGTCCATGTAGAAAATGATTCTTTCTGATTTCTATTTTGTCTATGAACTGGATGTTGGTTGTTTCAGATAATTTGTTTTGCGTGATAATTATTTAATTGTAATTAGTGATACGTGAAATTTTCAACTATTCAAACACCAAATTGCATTACAACTATATTACACAATATTGATTATAATAATAATTATTTTCATTAAATTACATGCAGTCGTTATAACTTCAAGGCATTCAATTTACGACGCGAATAATAATTAAAATTGCTATAATGCAAAACAACCATTTCACACCAGTAATATTTATATAAAATTTTGTTGTACTTATTATGTTTGAGAGAAAAGGTTCCAATGTTTTATAAACTGTGGGTAAGTTTCATAATACAAGAAGTAACTTCGGCAACGAGCGAGTAAGCATAGTATTATGTTCTCAAACTTCTAAAGCATCTCTGTACAGTGGAAATAGTTTTTGTGATCAAGTAACACTGAGATAACTTTGTAACAAAAATGTTGCAAGATCACCATAAGTTACGTCAAAATTATGCCACGGCACATATAACAATGTTAAAAGGCCTATTCGTTATTTGAAACCACATATTTACAACCTGTTGTACATAAAAATATAATAGTTTTTTCACAGAATGAAGTGAAATTTATTGTTAAATAAAAATAAAAATTTCGCCAAGTGTGTAGAAAGAACCTATTTTATAAATAATTAACAGAGATTGCATTACTACATTTAGAACTTCTGGTCAAATATGAGGCAGCCTAAAATATCACCAAAAAACTGTACACTTAACTTCACTTATGTGATTTATGACGAAAATATAGAATATGAAAATAATTCATTTACTGTGGTGTTTGACACTGTCGATTTTTTTAAAAGTTTTTATATAACATATCTAGCATATCTATTTAATCTTCACGCCTTATAACTTGCGGAGTAGGCAGAGAGGACCAGCCACAAAGTTACATTACACACATCTTTCGCATTATCCACTTTCATTACATCACCTAACAGCACACGATTGATTTAAATTGATAATTATCAATTTGGTACTTTGAATGCAAAATTTATTATGAAAATGCTTATTTTCTTAATTTATCAGGCTTTCATGTGATTAAATCTGAAGCGAGCGAACTCCAGGAGACGAAGTTGAGATTTATTTGTTTTTGATGCGAGTTTAGTAATTTTGAAAATAATACTAAGCTAGTATTATTTTCGATAAATACGTCATCATCAACCTGTTAATTTTCCCACCGTAGGGGCACAGGTCTTGCTAATGAATGAATTTGAATCCAACAGAGAGAATGGATCATTACCCACTACGCGGGCCCAAAGGTTGGTGAGTGTTAACTTCTGCAGATGCAGCCAGAATCAAAGGTTTGGCTGCCTTCTGAAACACTCGAAATAATACATTTTGGTTACCCATCCTATGAACGGCTTTTACGAAAGTTGCTTAACTTCCGCAACATAGCTACAAGTTTGACTCCGTCAATGAATTTCTCATCCTACAGATTCATAAACGTTATAATACAGAATTTCGCATTCGATATTTTTTTCTAAACTCAAACATGATTTACTTTTTGACAGCTGATAAAGCGTCTCTAATTTGACTAATCGGTGCTCATAGCGAAACACTTTTATAAATCATTCGATCGGTGTTGTTATTAATCGATTAGCGTAACAACAAACATGCTAATGTCACTAATGTGCGGAGCGACAGTCGCTC